CCCCAGAACAAATAATTATGGGAACTTACCAACCGAACCAATGGTCCATCCTCCACCATGAATATAAACAACACCTGTTGATTTGGCATCAGGATGTTTTGGTTTATAAACACGTACAGGAACATTAGCAATTTTGGTGTCATGGACGTCTAAATCTGGTCCCTCATCTGGCGCGAAAATTTGTTCCGCAACATTCAACAAATAATTCAGATTTTCAATGGGTGAATCACCAATGCCCACAAATGAAGCTGCACGACCCTACAAACAAAAAAGGTTACAACCCAGGCACTTTGTTAGTAATTGAAATAAAATTAAAATAGTAATATAATAAAATTAAAATAGTAATTGACATGGTTAGTAACTGACAGCAGAAAAGGACTGTAATGGATCTGGAGCTGAGCAGTCCACATGCTGATTGTAAGAGGACGGTAGGCCTAATGCTAGGTATCATGGGAAGGTGCTCGAAGAAATATTTCTGTAATAGGGTTGAGTTGAGGTTACTGTTTGTCTTCCAAAACACTGATTAACGCTGTAAAGCTTTTTCATTCACATTGCCAGCAACTATACATACGAAAAGGTTCAACCTCCACAGGATTGGTTTGGGACACATCGTCGGAGACCCAGGGATGGTAAGTCGGGTCGGGGAAAACAGCGCCTAGGGCGACAAGCATGTTTGGGACACCAACATGGCTGATGTTTTATTACTTTTGAACACCAATAATGGCGGATGCGACGTGGAAGGGAATCGCAGACATGTATATTGCATTTTGTTTTGGCACAAAATTAACTATTTTAGGGGCAACCACTGAGTAAGAGAAAAATTTTCCTATCCACTTGTCCCTTAGCCTCCCACGCAGGCCTTTTTAGGGAAGCTCGTTTTTCATCCCTCCCCACAAACGCCTGCTCAACCGAAAACAACATTCCTTTCTCACTGTTTTATTTGCATGGTAAGTGACCAATCAACAGTTGTGCAATAAAGTGTTGACAGGCTAAACGCGACTAAAACGTGACGCTAGAGTTGCCGTTTTCCTTCTTTTCTTTCTTTCGCTAAGGTTATGCAGTGCATGGAGTATTCTAAAATTTGACTAAATCTTATTTTTGCCGCTCTGAGTCTAACATTTATTAGAGGTCAGAAAGCTTTCCCAGTGTTCCATACAGATCGAGTAATTATCAGATTACCTTGCGGTCAAGGCCAACCGCTTTCCAGAATTTGGAAAGTACAATGTGATTGGCTAAGCTTGGGAAAGGAGTGTTGTTTTTCGGTTGAGCAGGTGTTTGTGGGGAGGGATGAAAAACGAGCTCCCCTAAAAAGGCCTGCGTGGGAGGCTACTTGTCCCTCGGACAAGCACTATCTTTATTAAATTTGGTTGTTCAAAAGCCAAGAGTTCTTGTCCAAAATGTTTTGTCAGGTTCCTAAGCCAAGTGGAGCTCATAAAAACAAATGAAATGACCCCGGTATGAAAATTACTTTAATGACTGAGGTAAATTTTAATTCTACTGTAATTTGAGGTCAATTTTCAAATGTTTCTGTATTTTGTCATCCCTAATGATGATTAATGATTTCCGAGTGACCGCCTAAAAACAATAGTGTACAGGTTAGCTGTGACTGTACGCAATACCATCCACATCACCAAGACTCAGTGAAACTGAGAGACATGCAGGATGCAGGGCAAATCATGCAGGTCTGGGGCCAATCCGACTATTTTGAGTTCGAGTTTTGAAAAACAAGTTTGTAAAAACCTACCAGAAAACGGTAAACATCCAAGTTTGCTCCAACGAACCGAACCCCAAACTGCTGATCATACGGGAGTCCTTCCGGTAAATCTTGATTCCAGTACAAACCAACGATCATAGCAACCAAAGTAGTGACAGTGACGGCAAAAATGAAGAGGCAATTTGCCATGTTTTGTTTGGCCTTTCAACAGTCATCAAATAAAGAATGTGTTTCATATTATATTTACAGAAGAATGACTGTGACTACAGAGGAATTGTAGATTGACTCCTTGACCCCAGCATCTTTGCATAAAAAATAATGGCCCCCCCTTAATTACATGCACCAAATTGTTTGACCCTCCCTTTTGTGCTTGCATGAAAAACCATGGCCCTCCCCATGTTTGCACCAGCCCTCCCCCCCCTCTAATTTTTGACCGGTCCCTCACTTAATACACAAGGTTTCTCAATAAAAGATTCACTCGGAAGAATTCGTTTGTAAATGGGTCTCTCGTATAGTCCATGAACTAATACCTCTTCCATAATGTACTCTTGCCATCTTTTACTGTGGGCTTACCATCAACAGCGTTTACATTCGTATTTTTGGCACTCTTATGCTTCCACCGAAGATAGATTGCTAATAGCTTCGAGTCGCTTCGAGCTCCTTAGAATGTACTCTGCTGAAGTCCGCTGATCTACTCTACGCATACTCTTACAAACCAAGTCCATTTTATAACTGGCCTGTGCCACAGGCAGCCCAGTAAAAATAAATATAGAATCAGCTTTTACGGCTTATCTTTCACGCGTTTTTGGTAATATCCTATCAGAGCAGAGCTATGATCATTCGCCACATGTTGAGTCACAGATGCGCCACAGTATTTGAAATCACTAAAAACAATGGTGGTAGCTTCTTCCTAAAGCCTAGTGGCGTAAGAAAGAGTAAATAGGTATAAGAGTAAATAGTTTCCTTGTAATTATTATAGTCAGCTACATATTATAAGTTTTGGCACAAGAGAGCAAGTCCTGGCCGACCCCCTGGTCCTCAATAGCGGGGCAAACAAACATTGAAAATCACGCTCTTTAGTTACGTTATTTTACAAGTTAACTTTCCTTAAAGAAAGCTGTGTAGTCGGCTTCTGACTGAAAGTAATGTCCACTTATTTGACTAAACTTACTCGACAGATATCAGTACAGCTTTAGCTTCTTTAGCCAACTGATAAGTTAATGGATGATACATTGCTGCAAAAAAGAACAAGATGATGCATTTCACTCATTTACTTTATTCTTTACAGTTGCCTCGCCCCTAAAGTGGTTGTAGGGTCGTTAATTCAAAAACAGAGTTGACAAAGAACCTAGGGCCAAGTACTTAACTTTTCATAACGACTAGGTCCCTTAAAAAAGCCTTTACCTGATTCTGTAAACAGACATGGAGGAACCCTAAGGAGGGCAGGGTGGGTTGCCTTCACCAAGACATATTCACTAGGAAAGTGACTGATATTGCATTTACCGCCCACTTTTTCAATAATTTTTCACATCCCGCGTCCTCTTCATCCCCGTTTTTTATGTCCCCGCGTCCCCGTCCCCGTCCCACACGTCCCCAGGTCCCATAGTTGATGTCCTCAAGTCCCCCGTCTCGCGTCCCCAAGTCCCAAGTCCCCACACACGCGTCCCGATGTCCCTGTCCCCTTGTCCCTGTCCCCTTGTCCCTGTCCCACTTTTATACACAGCCCTGCCGGAGCGTCCATCTACCTTGTAGGTCTTGGAGTCAATCCTTTCCAATTTTAATTCATAATTTTTAAATAAATACTGAGACAACTTTCGCGGTTTATCTTTTACGCCTTCTTGGTAATATCCAATCAGAGCAGAGCTTTGATCATTCACCACACGACAAGTCACAGATTAATTGCACTATTTGAAATCACTGACAACAATGGTGGTAGCTTCTTCCTAAAGCCTATAGTGGCTTAAGAAAGAGTAAATACAGTTATGTGACGCCTTCAAGTTTGCTTGTAATTATAGTTAGCTACATATTATAAGTTTTGGCGCAAGAGAGCCAGTCCCAGCCCTCAATAGAGGGGAACCAAATATTGTCACTAATTGAAAATCACTCTCTTTAGTTACGTTATTTTACAAGTTAACTTTAATTTCTTCAAAACTGAAGCTTAATGTAATCGGCTTCTGACTGAAGGTAATGTCCACTTAATTATTTGACTTAACTTACTCAACAGATATCAGTACAGCATTAGCTTCTTTGGCCAACTGATAAGTTAAAGGATGATACATTGCTGCCAAAAAAAACCAAGATGATGCAGTTTACTCATTTATTACATCCACTTTGAAATCACTGGCTATCCGTGCAATCTGATTGGCTCTCAGCGGTGTGATTTATTCCTAAATCGCACCATTTTTTGCTCTAAATCGCATCTGTTCCAAATCGCGTCATTCATGTTCNGATGTCCCCGCGTCCCCGTCCCCGTCCCACACGTCCCCAGGTCCCATAGTTGATGTCCTCAAGTCCCCCGTCTCGCGTCCCCAAGTCCCAAGTCCCCACACACGCGTCCCGATGTCCCTGTCCCCTTGTCCCTGTCCCCTTGTCCCTGTCCCACTTTTATACACAGCCCTGCCGGAGCGTCCATCTACCTTGTAGGTCTTGGAGTCAATCCTTTCCAATTTTAATTCATAATTTTTAAATAAATACTGAGACAACTTTCGCGGTTTATCTTTTACGCCTTCTTGGTAATATCCAATCAGAGCAGAGCTTTGATCATTCACCACACGACAAGTCACAGATTAATTGCACTATTTGAAATCACTGACAACAATGGTGGTAGCTTCTTCCTAAAGCCTATAGTGGCTTAAGAAAGAGTAAATACAGTTATGTGACGCCTTCAAGTTTGCTTGTAATTATAGTTAGCTACATATTATAAGTTTTGGCGCAAGAGAGCCAGTCCCAGCCCTCAATAGAGGGGAACCAAATATTGTCACTAATTGAAAATCACTCTCTTTAGTTACGTTATTTTACAAGTTAACTTTAATTTCTTCAAAACTGAAGCTTAATGTAATCGGCTTCTGACTGAAGGTAATGTCCACTTAATTATTTGACTTAACTTACTCAACAGATATCAGTACAGCATTAGCTTCTTTGGCCAACTGATAAGTTAAAGGATGATACATTGCTGCCAAAAAAAACCAAGATGATGCAGTTTACTCATTTATTACATCCACTTTGAAATCACTGGCTATCCGTGCAATCTGATTGGCTCTCAGCGGTGTGATTTATTCCTAAATCGCACCATTTTTTGCTCTAAATCGCATCTGTTCCAAATCGCGTCATTCATGTTCTAAATCGCATCATTTCTGTTTTAAATCGCACCATTTTTGTTCTATATCGCATCATTGACTAAATTCTGCGATTTCAAAATGGAAGTATTAAAGTGGAAATTTAACTTCGTGTCGTGCAATTTTGGTGTGAAATCATACTTGTGATTTCAAATCGAACTCGCGCTGCGCGCTCGTTGATTTTGAAATCACACGTATGATTTCAGACCAAATTGCACTCCACTCAGTTCAATTACCATTATTTACTTTTTGTGGTATTTTGGGTAATATGGGTCACGTGATAAAGATGATGTAAGAAGGTGAAATAAAGAGTTGCCTTGCAGACATGTTCTTGGTATATGCACGTGTGTTAATATTTGTTCCTCATCGTTCGCTCCTAAAATCCTTCAAGATACAAAACTTTTTTCCACACAGATATCTCGTCCCTAAGGTGGTTGTAGGGTCGTTTATTCAAAACCAGAGTTGACAAAGAACCAAGGGCCAAGTACTTAACTCGTCCTAATGACTAGGTCCCTCAAAAAAGTCTTTACCTGATCGGGGTTGGGGGGTGGGGAGGCAGAACTAAGGGGAGTGGATTCAGGAACTCGAAACTCCTCAGGTAACGCCAGAGCAAATAATTATGGGAACTTACCAACGGAACCAATGGTCCATCCTCCACCATGAATATAAACAACACCTGTTGATTTGGCATCAGGATGTTTTGGTTTATAAACACGTACAGGAACATTAGCAATTTTGGTGTCATAGACATCTAAACCAGGTTCCTCATCTGGCGCGAAAATTTGTTCTGCTACATTCAACAAATAATTCAGATTTTCAATGGGTGAATCACCAATGCCCACAAATGAAGCTGCACGAACCTACAAACAAAAAAGGTTACAACCCAGGCACCTTGTTACTAATTGAAAAACTGACAGGAGAAAAGGACTGTAATGGATCTGGAGCTGAGCTCCCAGTCCACGTGCTGATTGTAAGAGGATGGTAGGCCTAATGCTAGGTATCATGGGAAGGTGCTCAAAGAAATATTTCTGTAATAAGGTTGAGTTGAGGTTACTGTTTGTCTTCCAAAACGCTGATTAACGCTATAAAGCGTTTTCATTCACATTACCAGCAGCTATACATACAAAAAGGTTCAACCTCCAGAGGATTGGTTTGGGACACATCCTCGGAGACCCAGGGGCGGTAAGTCAGGTCGGGGAAAACAGCGCCTAGGGTGACAAGCATGTTTGGGACACCAACATGGCTGATGTTTTATTGCTTTTGAACACCAATAATGGCGGATGTGACATGGAAAGGAATCCCAGACATGTATGTTGCATTTCGTTTTGGCACAAAATTAACTATTTTAGGGGCAACCAGAGTAAGAGAAAAATTTTCCTATCCACTTGTCCCTCGGACAAGCACTTTATTAAATTTGGTTGTCCAAAGTCCAAGAGTTCTTGTCCAAAATGTTTTGTCATGTTCCTAAGCCAAGTGGAGCTCATAAAAACAAATGAAATAACCCCGGTATGGCAAAGTCAAAAGAAATATTTCCCCATATTTTGACAATTCAATTCAATTCAATTCTTTATTCACACTATATAAGATATTTACATAAGTGTACGTAGTAGGAAAATAAAGTAGCTGACAAATAATAATTAACTAAAAGACATTAAGTTCATTTGTGTACGGTGTCCAAAGTAGCAAGAGCTTTCTTGTTGGACACCGTCATGTTGAAATAATTGGCAGCAGTAAAGAGAGGAATAAAATCTCAAATAATATCAGTGATAGAACAATTCACCATGCTGCCGCCATTCACCGATATGCGAATTCAAAATTTGTCAAGTATGAAAATTACTTTAATGACTAAGGTAAATTTTAATTCTACTGTAATTTGAAGTCAATTTTCGAATGTTTCTGTATTTTGTCATCCCTAATGATGATTAATGATTTCCGAGTGACCGCTAAAAAACAATAGTGTACAGGACGGCTGTGACTGTACACTATTGTTTACTATTATTGCTACTATTGTTTACTATTATTGCACTGATCACCAAGACTCAGTGAAACTGAAAGACATACGGGATGCAGGGCAAATCATGCAGGTCTGGGGCCAATCCGACTATTTTGAGTTCGAGTTTTTAAAAACAAGTTTGTAAAAACCTACCAGAAAACGGTAAACATCCAAGTTTGCTCCAACGAACCGAGCCCCAAACTGCTGATCATACGGGAGTCCTTCCGGTAAATCTTGATTCCAGTACAAACCAACGATCATAGCAACCAAAGTAGTGACAGTGACGGCAAAAATGAAGAGGCAATTTGCCATGTTTTGTTTGGCCTTGGGCTATAGGTAGGAGTACGATCTTCGACTCTGCAAGTCACGCGATCATTGACTTTTTATGTCGTGTATGGTACATGAATTATCTAGGCTGCTAAGGATGCATTAATTAAGCTCTCCCTACATTTTACCTGTATTTCATAACTTCTTGCTGTTCAAACCAATTTTCTTCGCTCTGGAAGAGGAACTTATTTAAAGGAACTTGGCATTGAAAGAATCCTTAAAAATCCAAGGGAAAAAACATGGTAAGGAACACTATGATGTGGCATATATGACGCAGTTGACTACCGCTATTTTGTAGCGGAGACTGCGATGCCAAAATGGTCGCTGTTTTGTTTGTTTTCACTGCTCTCCTTGCCGTCCTTATCGCTGCAATCTTGCGTATGTATTTCAATCAGCTTGTTCCGGAAGGACTGCCTGTCGATCAACACCATAAACTCCGAATAGTGGGGTTGATCACAAAGCTTACGGGGATGGTGGTAAGTTTATCATATTATAAGCTTTTTAATGTTGTCGTTTATTCCAAAAGTATAATGTAACTTTCCCCTTTGAAGTTGCTATCTCGCTCTTGTGATTTTATAGCTATTTTATTGATATACTGACCAACGTGCATTCCAATGATTCCTTATTTTGCACATGCAGGTTCCGGGTTTGCGATGTGATGTGCGTTCTGTATCCTTGACCATAACTAGCCAGAACAAAATATGTTATCCCCTTTCTATTTCAGGCCTGAACCGCTGTTCTCAGGAAATAAATGCTAAAACACGTACCTAATTTTCCGGACCCTGGTTCTGGAGACCATAAAACCTACCCCATCTATTTTTATNGAAGCTGATACAGTCTTGTGTCACTCTTCATGGGCACCCAACAACCAAATTTTTTAAAATAGTCAGACGAATAGAATAGTCTCAGAAACTTTTTTTCCGTCCAGATGTCTTGAATAGGGGAACTTTGGTCATCTCAAAAGTTTTAGGTGGCTCTTTTTGTCCCATCCCAAACTGTCAGAACCCAGATGGGTGTGGTCAAAAGTTTGAGGACATATTGGAGTAGCTGTCCATTCACAAGAAGATTCTAGGAGATGTTAATTTTGTCTTTATAGCAAAATATTTTCAGGAGACTCTTTTTAACAATAAAATATTTCATTAAAGGGGCTGTGTCACGGCAATTTTTAATTTCATTTTTTTAATTTTGTCAATTACTTACCCTCAATCGCTATGGAACTTAAAGTAAGCAAAGAAATTACAGGTAAATGACAAAATCAGAGATGAGAGACAAACAAAAATGTCTCCTGAGCATTATTTTTGAAGTTGCAAGCAGCAGGGATCACCTTTGAAAAACTGTTAGGCTGAACAGTTTTCCGTTTCAGTCTTCCTCAGATTTGCCCATCCGTGGCATCTGTTGTTTCTGTTATGTTATTTTAACCTTCCTTTAAAGTGTTAAGCGCTTATTTTTACGTTTCTCTTAATTAACGGGCGTTTTGTAATTTCCTAATTTGGCTGAATTTCGTGACACAGCTCCTTTAATTATGCAATATCCTGGTAATGAAGTATGAAAAACACAACCTCCAAAAACTGTATGTAAGTTAGTAGAAAAACTGCAAACATCTTGGCCTTAAATTTCTTACCTTTACAAATTCCTGGTTGCCCTAATTTTGAACATTATTTTACAAAAAAAAGACATGTGGATGCCTCTGACTCTCAGTACTTTTATTTTAACCCTTTAAAACCCTAAGATCAAAATTTGAATTCTCATTTGTTGCCCCTATTCATTTCCTACAGAAGTAGTGGTGAGAAGTTGATAAAATATTAAGCAAATTTATCTTATGTGATCATGTCCATAATTCTCATGAGCACTCTGTTTTACAAAGCATTGATATTAGAAGGAGAAATTTGATGCTGACCACTCTCAGGGCTTAAAAGGTTCACTGATTTCTTACTTATCATGAGTCTGTTCCTTTTAGATTCTTACCATTCCGTCACTCAATATATGGCTGCAAATGCTGGAGTGGTAGTTGTATCTGTTGGGTAAGATATTCTAGTACATTGACTGGTACTTGAACTTGCACATACATTGCTGCATTGTTTAAACATACAATAATTATGATTTCTATTGATAGCGGGATAATTTAATCAAGAAGTCATTCTGCATATGTAAACTTAATGTTATCCACAAGCCAATGGTAAAATGGGCAACAAAAACATGTAACTTGTTTTGTATTAAACACGAGCACTGCTGCAAAACGAGTGAACCCTTTAAGTCCCAGTAGTGACCAACAGCAATTTTCTCCTAACAATGTCCATACATTGTCAAGAGATAAGGTTGTGAGAATATAAAAAATGATCATGAAAGAGAAAACGCCTTGATGTTTTATTAAATTCTCTCAACTAATTCTTTAAGGAAATGTATGGAGATCAGTTTGGAGAATTTGTATGTGGATATTGGGGCTTAAAGGGTTAACAAACAATGTTGCACTTTTTATCATGCATGCTCAAACCTGTTTTGCAACTTTAAATCAGCTTGTTACATTAAGTTATGTGAATACTGACTTCTGATTGGATAAGTTTTGTGGGAGTCAAGCTATACATGAGTTTATTACTCTCTGCAAAAAGTTTGTCTTCAAGGTTGGTAAAATGTGCAACATGTACAGATTTTTTTGTAAAAAGTAGAACTTCTCTCAACTTTCTGCAATAACAGCCTTCTTTTGCAACTTGCAACTAGCTGATTTGTTGCAAGATAGGTTGATTCGGGGATGGTTAAACATGCAACACTGCTATTCAACTTGTTTTGGAACATTTGTGCCAAACAAGTTGCATATACCTGACAACTCTCACGCCTTAGGCGTGAGTCTCACTCCTGTGGGTTGAAAACTTCGATCTCACACCGGCTCACTCTTGCGGGCCAATTTCTCACGCCTGATTGAAAAATGTGAGTTGTTGCCATCTTGCTTGACACAATTTTTAAAAATATGTTAACTCAGACCCATGTATTAAAGGAATAAAAACCATGTGTAAAATGAATAAATGACAATACCTTCCTCACGATCTCTGATTTTGTGGATAAGCGTCTTCTCGATAACTTCGCCTTCGGCAGACTTCGGATGTCTTTGGAAGACTTTGGACGTCTTCGGAAGACTTCGGACTTATTCGGAAGACTTCAGACTTCTTCGGGAATCTTCGGAAATGATCGTGTCGTCTTCAAAAATCCCAGCACTCCCAGGATAAAAATCTCACGCTAATATCTCAGAAAAAGTTGGCAGGTACAAGTTGCACATTTTTGTCACCCATTTGACCGTAAGTTTACATGTATACACAGGTATAGGTTGGCACCTGAGAACCCCTTTCCAGCTGGTTTTGATGACTGTGTTGAAGTGGTGAAAAGTCTTCTTGACACTGGAGATGAGTATGGTATTGACACCAACCGTATACTGTTAGCAGGAAGCAGTGCAGGTGGAAATTTGGCAGCAGCTGTAACTCATCATTTACACAATGAGAATAGAAAGCTGGCTGGTCAGGTAGGTTGTCTTAAAAAAAAATGTAGATGTTTTATTGCAGTTAATGAAGTGGCCTGCGACACAGACGTTCTAAGGGGTTCATCTGGCATAAGGATTACTCATGGCGAGCCAAAAAAATGCCTGCGGGGATGATTCTTGATGGAGGACAATGCTTCCTAATCTGGTGGTTGCCCTGTGATTTTATGGGGGCCTGTGCAACCAAGAAGGACAAGACAATTTTTTCAGTGCCCTTATCCACTTCCAGCTTAAAGTGAAAAGCACACTTTTCTAACCCATGTTACTAACTACTACTAATTTTTTTAAAACAATAAATCAATTGGCAGAGAACAAAAATAAGTTGGTTATCTATAAGCACATCCAATGATAATGGCAACAGACCTCTTTAATTTCTAGCCTTTGTTTTACCAATGTAGGTCATGTGATGATGAGAACTGTTTCTTTCAGATTTGTCATATTTCAGATGCATTATGTATATGAATAATTTATGAAAAGACAAAGGGGAAATTTCCTCTGAGACCTTCATTGGAAAAACAAAACTTACTTTGCTTGTCTATAGGTTAACAACCTGGGTTCTTGGAGGAAGTAACCTCTAACAGCAAGGAAGAGAATTAACATCAAACTGAAGTAAGCCTCTTGTTTTTTTTCAGATCCTTATAAGTCCTTTACTACAGTTCATGGATTTGACGCTGCCCTCTTATCAAAAAAACAGTTCTGCTGTTCTCTCTAAAATAGAAGTCGCATTGGCCTGGTCATTTTATATTACCGGCACAAAACGGATGTCTCGTCCGATTGGTGCTAAAAAGCACTCAGCGCATCTTTGCAACACAAAGTATTCAAAATTCATTGGTGTTTGTGATGCTGATGTTGACACAGTTCAGAAAGAACCACCAAAAGATATTCCTCAGGGAATTGTTGATGCTCTTACTGATTACAGAACGTCACCTTTAATAGCTGATAACATGACTGGCTTACCCAAAACTTTGATAATCACTGCTGAATTTGNTTGTTTTACCAATGTAGGTCATGTGATGATGAGAACTGTTTCTTTCAGATTTGTCATATTTCAGATGCATTATGTATATGAATAATTTATGAAAAGACAAAGGGGAAATTTCCTCTGAGACCTTCATTGGAAAAACAAAACTTACTTTGCTTGTCTATAGGTTAACAACCTGGGTTCTTGGAGGAAGTAACCTCTAACAGCAAGGAAGAGAATTAACATCAAACTGAAGTAAGCCTCTTGTTTTTTTTCAGATCCTTATAAGTCCTTTACTACAGTTCATGGATTTGACGCTGCCCTCTTATCAAAAAAACAGTTCTGCTGTTCTCTCTAAAATAGAAGTCGCATTGGCCTGGTCATTTTATATTACCGGCACAAAACGGATGTCTCGTCCGATTGGTGCTAAAAAGCACTCAGCGCATCTTTGCAACACAAAGTATTCAAAATTCATTGGTGTTTGTGATGCTGATGTTGACACAGTTCAGAAA